AGTTGTCTGCCCCCCCCCCAGATGGCTTGGGCACCCCCCCCCTTATCCATGGCTCTGAATGTCAGTGGGCACCATTCTCCCTGGATACACACCCCGTGTCTTCCTCTGCTGACATATTTTGTACCTTATCTTATTCTTGCATAGATCGTTCATTTGGCAGGGTGTGCAGGAGCTGAGAGATCACATAACAGCCTATGTAGAGCAGAGCTGTAGTACAGAATACAGAGTTGTGTTCCTGGAAGTCTGTAAAGCTCACCATACACTATACAATCTGACCGTACAATCTCCTTTGGATCCACAACGTTGTAGGTCCCCTTTAAAAACTGGTAAATTAACTGACAAGAAGAAACTACGCAGCAGCAAGCCCAGAATTCCCATTGCTGAATTCCCTGATTTAATGAACATAACCATTTTATGTATATTACGCAGTCTCAACCTGATTATGTTATTACATGAATACAAAATAGAATATGGAATGAAAGCAATGTAATTTATTCAAATCCAACAGGTCTGCCTATTTTTTTTCCCTTTAACTGTTTCTGTTCAACAGAATTGCATTCCCAGTGAAAAAAAAACACAGTTACTGCTCAGGTAGGAGGAATATCTTCAAACAAAGACAAGAAGAAAAAATGGAACACCAGCCTAGTGCAATAGGACCATTTTATTGTACTCACAAAATCGAAAAAACTGCAAATATAAAAACAATCCAGTCCCAGAACAATGATCATCCACACGGGAGCAGCCTATGTGTTTCAAGGGCAATGCCCTCTTCATCAGAGCTCTGATGAAGAGGGCCTAATCCTTGAAACGTGTAAGCTACACCTGTGTGAATGGGCACCATTCCAGCATTGGGACTGGATTCTTTTTATGCCTGTAGTTCATCACTTTTGTGAGTAGATTGAATAAAAGGTTGGATGCATTCCTAAATGCACAGAATATAATTGGATATTACCATTTTATAAGTAATAACACCAGAGATTTTTGATCAGGGGATTGCCTAAGAAGTTTAAGAAGGAATTATTTTCCTTGTGTGAGCAAATTGGTCCTTTATAAGGACTAGAAGCTCCTCCTGCTTACATTTCCCTGCAGACAGGCTGGGCAAGAGCTGGGTCATGTGACAGCTGTATATCAATTAGGAAAAAAAGGAGCTTAGATGTTTTTAAAATAATTACAATGATATCATCCCCATACAGAAAGAGAAGGGATAATGTAAATTAAACAGTGTGTGTGAAAACGCCCTGGAGGAGGGGCGAAACGCATTGACACATTTCCGGCTTCGCCGCCCAACGTACTACGTCACTTTCGGTGAGTGGAGCGCACGCTGGTGTACGGCGCTCTCAGGGGCCATCTTGCTTGAGGGTGGATTCTTACATGCTGTCATCTATTGCTGACTAAGAGATCTTTAATCCTGGTGATGTGGTGTTCTGGTTCCAGATAAACAATAAATGCTGAATATATTCTTTTAAAATGTGAGTGGTTTGGTGTTTGCATTGTATCCTGTCTGAGTCTTGCAGTATTACACTATATACATTTTTTTCTCTGTACCAATCATCTCTTTATGGCGAGTGATCTCAGTTGATCCTGGAGGTTGGAGGCTGGTTCTTTACCATGGTTTGGAGTTCTGAGGCATATATCTATACCTGCATTGGGGGAGTTCCACCTAAACCTGGTGATTGGAGGCTGAACTGAATGGGTCTAGGATTCCAAAACTCATAATTAAGGCGTTTTTTTCACCATTTTCTGCTGAGTGCGGTATGTGATCTGAGCACTAATGGGTGTGAACACAGGTCAAGGGTCTTTTCAATAAGGACTTTTCAATTTCACTCTACTCACCATATTCATCTCAATAATTATTTTGTTGGAGTGGGACTATTCAATTGATATTATATTTATTATAAGTTTTTTGTATTATTTTTATTATTTATTATACTCATTTTTTTAAGTATTGATTTGCGCTGTTTGATTTTTTTTATTGTTATTTTATTAATATTTACACTAAGGAGCAGCAGCATTTATTTAGAAATTATCTCACTATTTTTGTCACTATTTTTGGCGCTGGTGATTTTTTTGGATATATTTTTAGTGTGTGTTTAGTATCACTTTAAATGCACAGGGCTTTCTGCATCACTAACTGATTTTGTCCGGACAGTTGTTCTGCAGTATATCTGATCCTACTCCTTTGTCCTGTTACACAGCCACTACACTGGGAATCCATAAATATGTAACTGAATTATTATTGTACAGGATTTATATAGCACCCACAGTTTGAGCAGTGCTTTACAAAATAAAGGTCGGACAGTACAGTTACAATACAGTGGAAGACATGAGTTAGAAGGACCTTGCTCGTGGGAACTTACAATCTAATGCTCCATGCACACGGGGTGTTTTGATAACACTGGTAAGATTAGCTGTGTAAAGTCACATTAAAAACCTGAGTTTTTCAGCGTTTTTGCATTTAGCGGTGTTTTGCAGCATTTTTGCATAGCGTTTAGCGGAGTTTTTCCATGTTTGCGTTTTTAGCTTTTTTATTTTTATACCAACAAAAAATATTTTCTTTGGTCAAAAAAGCCAAAAAATGCTGGTTTGTGACGGTTTACTGCGATTTACCGCGTTTTACTGCTTTAGAGCATTTTTACAGCTAAAAAAACTCCTCTAGAAACCCACTAGTTCTGGGGGGGGGGGGGGGGTTTTCCAGCCAAAAAAAACGTCCCTGCCAAAAACGTTGATTACATTCTATGTGTGCATGGACACATAGGATAACATGCTAGGTTTACTAGCTTTAGAAAAAAACATCAAAAAACGTCAACAGCAGCTGTAAAAAACGTTCAGTGTGCATGAGGACTAAAGCAAAATCTTGACAATATGGAACAGCAAGCAAAAATGTGAATCTCACATAAAAAATGACTTTGTAGCAAACATTACCGTAATCCCAATGTGTGATTACTGAAAACACGCAGTGGCTTCCCCTTAGAAGAGATGCGTAGTGACCTCTGCTAATGTATTCTTTACAAAAACAAAGCACTTGATATAATTTAGCAGAAAATCCACTGCCGGACACTCCAAATAATTCTCCTTTCATGTAACATTCTAAATGCTAATGCCGCTCTAATCATGAGCTAAGTATTTACAGGAAAAGGCTTGGACGCTGTGTGACAACCAGAGGACTAATGAATTGGCATCCTATGTCGCCCTCCTAGGAGCCACTTGAGTTTAACCAAACGCATTTTCAGCAAATTCAGCTGTATTGGCTGGGGTTGACCTAGATCTATTCCTTGGTTACACATGGAGGGATCGCTGTGATGATCAGCAAAGTATACATTAGAGTCAAATGAAAGAAATACTGTGTTTCTATATAGTGACATCTTCAAGGATAGCCAGTCCAGATCCCTTACATGTTGTCTATACATTCCAGGCGCAGTAACACATTTAGGGCTCCTTCACACCAGTCCCGGAGGGCTTCTATCAGTAGAACTGCCCGAGATAGTCCCAACACATAGGCAAGGCAATTTGCCTCAAGTCCTATTGCTTCAGTTCACACCAGCACACTGTATTGAGGACATTCTGTATTGTGTTAGAGTGCATAGGAATGGCTATGCAAAAATGCAATGAGCTATCATGCACAGAGTTAAAAGTTAAAGGATAAGTAGGGCCAATGCTCCTGTGACTCAAATTCAGCCAACAATGGGCTAAAGTCCACTGTCGGCTGATGTCACTCAGCTGGTCTAGACTCTGGAGGGATCCCGACTTTAATGTCAAGATCCACCCAGATGCCTGATAAACAGTTCTCTCAGTGTGCTGCTGAGAGCCTAAATCAGCCACTCCCACCCCCTTCACATTCTGGCTGGAGGGCAGAGCAGAGAGACGTTGACTGACAATCACTGCTCTGTGCTCAGAGCAGATCCGAGAACTAAGCAATCAACGGTCTTTGATTGCTCAGTTCTTGGGCTTAGAGGAGGCAGGGGAGAGATGCAGTATCGGACCGATGCTGCCTCCACCTATGTGAGTATGCATGTTTACTATTTTGAAATCCCACATTTCTCTTTTAAAATTTAAAAACTTACTAAAACTGGTGCACTCAGAATCGGGTGCAGCTGTGCATGGTAGCCAGTCAGCTTCTAACTTCAGCTTGTTCAATTAGACTTTGGCTTTGATTGATTACCAGATTTTGCATTCTCCAGTTTGGTAATTAACCACCAGTATGTCTGCCACTAATGTAAATGAGTTCTAAGCTATCATAGTCTTACCATTGGTTTATTCATATAGAAGCCTCAACTATAGTAAAATAATCTGTCCCCCACCAGCATGCTGAAGAGCACGTGTCAAACACACAGGCCCTGTGGGCCAAATTCGGCCCTCCAGGTCATTTCATGTGGCCATCGCACCTCTACTGCAGCTGCAGTACCCCCCTCACCTCTACTGCAGCTGCAGTAACCTCCCTCATCTCTGCCCCCATCTTGTCTCAGTAGCCAGCAGCAGAGAGGAGGACAGAACTCCTCCTACAGGTCCTGCCCCTCTCTGTGCATCTGTAGCATCTCCTTGTCTCTAACTACACTGGTCTCAGCATTCAGCACCAGCCCTCCGCTGGTCCTCATCCAGACCGTGCACTTTTTGCTACCCAGCTCCGCCCTAGGTTCCTCCTCAGCAGCACAAGTTAAGGGGTGGTGCACTGTGATGTAAGGGAGTGGGATGCTGTGTATGTCTAGTCTTACAGATACAACCAGCCCTTTGAGGGAAACCATAATGCTGATGCGGCCCTCAATGAAATTGAGTTTGACACCCCTGCTGCAAAGGATGACTGTCCACCATACCCTGTGTTGGAGCTAGAGCTCCCTTGTCACCAAAGTTCACACTTCCTGCTAATTGAGGAGCTCAAATAGGGTGTCATAATCCTTTTTCACCATACTGGCTGGGAACAGGCTTTTTATTACTATGGCGATGGCTGCGAGAACAGTAGATGAAGAAAAGAAAACCTTTTTTTTTATCCATTAATATGACTATACCTCATATGTGACCCCACTATCAGTGCCAGCATCCCAGGGGATAAGATCTTGGACTACCCTCTGGACCCAGCCACATTCCTTTGTACAGAGATCCTCTGCAGAGAGTCCAACGTTCCAGTCTGGGCTTGGACCTAGCATGGCCAGGAAAGACATGAGATGACGGCTTCTGTCCACTGAGAACTCTGCAGATGGAGCAGCTCTCCTGCAATGAACAGAAAAAAAAAAACAGAATAAATATACATACTTCACATTTGTAATGTAAAAAATCAGTTGCATCAGACACACACATATAGTCCTGTCTAAAGAATTCAGAATAAACAGGCAAAAGAAAAGCAATGAAAAAAAACACCACTATCAATATAGGTATATCTAGAGAGGACACTAAGGTTGACGTTGGGATGCTGAAACACACGTCCATAGCTCTGCTCAAGACTGGCCTCTCCTACACATGGACACCCTGGTTGCTGGCTATCACAGTCCGTCTTCACTCTTTACTGAAAATAGGAAAACAATCAGCTGCACTCCAATTAGCTTTTCTTGCAGTATTTTAATAATCAGTGCATTGACTGCATACAGTCCTAAACCAGCCTTCCTTGACACATTGCACCACTCCTGGCTTGCTCACAAGGATAGGGGAAGTCTAGTTTTTATTAAAAATACTGCAAGAAGAGCTAATTGGAGTTTTGGTGTTGGGATGCTGCTGCATTCATGATGCTGGTGCTGGATGGGGTCCAATTTCAACCTCTCCCGCCATCACAGCTCTTCACCTCCTCTAAAGTTGGGTCCTTGCACCTAACCTTAATGTTTCCTGGTAATTATAGGCACATTTATTGAGTGTCATCCTGAAGGCCTCAAGTGCTCGGTGACTTGAGTTAAGCTATAGGTTAAGTTAAATTTTAATCTGGGGTTTCACTTTAGGACATTAAGCCCCACCCTCATTATTTATTACTGCTACTTGAGCTAGAATGCTGTAGAATGCTCCAAAACCGAGCTCCTCATCTTTCCCCCTGCCCACTCACCCCCCCCCCCCCATCCTATCCATCACTACCAACAACACCGCCATCAATCCTGCCCCACAAGCCAAAGTCTTTGGCGTCATTCTGGACTCCAACCTTTCCTTCCAACCTCATGTCAAATCACTTACAAACACATGCAGGCTCCACCTTCGCAACATCGCCAAGATACGTACCTTCCTTACCCCAGACACCACTAAACTACTTGTACACTCCCTGATTATCTCACGACTTGACTACTGCAACTCCCTTCTCACCGGCCTACCCCAGTGCAGGCTCTCCCCGCTCCAGACCATCCTGAACTCAGCGGCCAGACTCATTCACCTCACCAACCGCTCCACCTCTGCCACCCCCCTCTGCCTATCCCTCCACTGGCTCCCGATTGCCCATCGCATCAAATTCAAACTACTAACCCTGACCTACAAAGCCATTCACAACACTGCCCTTAACTACCTCACCAACCTGATTCCTAAGTACCACCCTACCCGTACCCTTCGCTCCTCACAGGACCTCCTTCTATCTTGCTCTCTGGTCTCCTCCTCCCATGCACGACTGCAAGACTACTCCAGGTCCTCCCCCATCCTCTGGAACTCACTGCTCCAATCCATCAGACTGTCACCTTCCCTCATCACCTTCAGGCGCTCCCTGAAAACCCACCTCTTCAGGGAAGCCTACCCCTCCCTCACCTAACAGCCGCTCTCCTTCATTCCTCCTACCACTCTATCCCCCACAGCCACTTCCTCCTGTGCCACTATCCCCTCCCTCCTAGATTGTAAGCTCGAAAGAGTAGGGTCCTCTAACCCCTCGTGTACTGTTGTTGTTGCTGTTCTATTTCTTGTATTGTCCCCCCCTCTATTGTACAGCGCTGAGTAAACCCTTTGGCGCTATATAAACTCGATGTAATAATAATTAGAGCATTGTTTGGGAGCATGTCAGACCACTGGAAAGGTTGTGCGTTAGATAGCTGTGATCTAACTTTGCTATGTGCTTGCAGTAAAGGGTATTTTAACCTTTGCTACACCTCTTAAGTATAAGAGCACCAAATATGTGTTACTATTTGAATGGCTTGGCTGCATTACAGTATTAAGCAACAAGAGTTCAATTAGGCTTTAAAGAGACAATAGATACAGTATCTTTAGTTATTCCTCTTGCATGACTTCCCTGAAGGGGTACTGGGTGAATAAAGATAACCCATGGTCTGGTGTTTGGACTTCTTGGACACTACCCAATACCCCATAACTGCACCTGCAGTATATTCCCAGTTTTAACCCCCTGCCATTGTCTGCCATTGAAAAAAAAGTCTCATTCTTGCAATCACATTCTCGACTTATCTATCATTATGAAAAATGGAGCATGACGGGTGAGATTCCTTGCTTGGCTTTGTAGTGTTTGTAGAAGGTGGCAGGGATGACTTACCAGTAAATCAGTAGTGGGTAAAAGAAGCCATGGCTGATCCAACTATCACACTTGGAGAGACTGACTCTCAGACTTGCCTAGTCTCTTCACAAATGATAATTGAGATGGTGATACCCTGGCACTGAAGTGTGCCTGGTGAGAAGGTTGTGTTAAACAGAAAAAAAAAAATTGTAAAAATAAGGCGAAGGCACGCGGCAAAGCTTTAATTACACGGCAGGGAACAAATATTTATGAAGGCCAAGAAATAAATTAAAAACAAGCTCACTGGAGTGCAATGAATCTAAAACACACTTATCTTTGTAGACAAGTGTAATGTAGGTTATTGTGGAACATTGCGTACTTGGAGAGGGTAGGCAAAGGTAACAGACGCATCTTTCATCACTTGTCGGAATATATATGTTATTAAACTCTAATTATTGCTACAGAGTTGAAAGACTTTATGCATGGCATTGATCCAGAAAACTTTCACTTGTATATTATTCATCCTATACTAATGGCTGAATATTCTGACTCATGATGCTTTAAAGTAAAGCTTGGCTCAAAGATCTTTAAAAAATCCTGGCCTAAAAAGTGTAGGGCCTGTAAGTACCTGTGTTTGTCTTGAAAGCAATCCCCATGGAGCCCCCTTGAAAACTAGTTGAGGAAAGTGGAAAGATAGTGCTAGACCCATCGGTTTATTTTCCTGGTTTTGTTATCCTAAGGTATTAATGCTGGTATAAATGATCTGGTTCCTGGGCAGGTGGATTCTACACCCCAGGGCATGTCCACAGCCTCCTTGGCTTGTAGTGTGGTGTAAAAGAGTTGAAATTGAAGCGCCACACCACTGCTAAGAGTTTGCTAAAGAGGCTGCTGATTACGCCTGGACTTTCAATTCACATTGGAAAAATGTCATTGTAGGTCCAGTTCACTTCTGGTTTGTGTACTTTGTTGCCTGTCAAGCCCTGATGAAGGGCGTACTTAGACCTCCGAAACATGTTGGCTACTATTTGAATGGTACCCCTGACCTTTAATGGAATAAAGTTGGATCTGGACCTCTTAGCAGTGGTGTGGCGCTACAATTTCAACCCTTGAAAACTAGACTGAAATTTTACATAGGGTGTTCTAGGTTAAAATTAAGGCCCACCCTCTTCCTCTGTGTTAGGCCCATGTACTAAACTGCACCCACCCTGGGTTGGAATAGATATTTTAGCATTTGACAGTTAAATGACAGGGGGTGGGGCTTTGTGCCAGGCAGGGGACTTGGAGAGAGGTCAATGCTCCATATACTACATGAGTCTAGGATCCAAGGGGCTCTTGGCTCATAGGGTTGAACCTGAAGACTAACAAATGTATTTGCAGGGCACCACAAGGCAAGATCGCAGTCTTGCGGCAATTCTCAACTGCAGTCCTTCAAATTTATGTAAACCCTAGCAATGAGCTTCCCTCATTTACTCCCTTTTGGTCTGGTAATATTTGTCCTCTCTCCACTCTTCACCCCATTATACAGAAGACAAGGGGAAAGGGGTTCTGTAGTTATAACAATTCCTGTAGAGTAACAAATGAACATTGTCAACCTAGGAAAGGCACTGAGAGGATCAGCATGTGAAAATAAAGGTAAAAAGCTTGAAAGAGAAAAGTAATGCAACCACCACATCTAAAAACTGGTAAGTTGTAATATATTACACTTTGAGATTAGATACCCTTTATGGCCCATTATTCATGTATATCTATCACTGCTCTGCTGATAAGAGCAGGACTGGGAACCTTTGACTGGGAGTCATACACAACCAACTAGCCCTTGTACCATGCAAAGAGGGCCATGGTGCCCCATTGATTGGTGGGCATGGTAAAATATGAAAGTTTCTATAGGACGGATTCATCACGACACACCAGCATATTTTCCAGCATCAGCTTCTTTTGTAGGTCTCTTTTTCACCCATAAAGAAAGTTAATGATGTAAGACTTATTTTTTTCAGATGCTGTGATTGCCACTCAGAGCCATCAGCCACATGCAAATTATTACTACTAGCCCAGGTAGCAAATTTCACCTTTGCCCATCCCAGTCCTTTCATGGGATTTTTTTCTCTATCTTTGGGGAGGTTTCCATCAAGGTATGAATGATAATGCATGTAAAACATATCTAAAATTCACTTCATCTAACAATGTAAAATAGTCTTATGTGGCTACATAGTTGGATCTGCCATTATAATAACATTTATTTACAATTGTGGTTTGCTTATATAATTGGATGCAGTTTCAAAGAGTCTCTAAGCTAGGGCCCCACACTGCACAGCTGTCAGTAAATTATTTATTATCTAAAAGAAAATTAAAATCTAACAGTGACCAGCTTTCCATAGCCTACTAATGAATGCAGCAGTACCACTATCTGGTCATGAGCAAATCACACAATAGCGCTTGTCATGTACGCATGAACTTTTCAGATTAGAATTTCTAATGTTCAATTATATTTGGGCATATTTTCTTTCATTGGTGCCCCACACCTTTTTGTTTCTTTTCCGAATGCAATTCAGATTAAAATCTAAAGTACAATAATCATCCAATATGTTTTATTCATAGTTTTTTATTTTACTTTGCTATAAAAAATGTACAATTCTACCACCCACACTAAAAGTCTTAAGAAATCAAAATTCTTTCAACCTGTCTAAACACTTCCCTTTCAATTCAACTTAAAGAAAAATAATTTAAAAAGCCCACACATGGTTTGATTATTCCTAGAGCCAATAT